CTCTTCATGGCTGTCTGTGGTGAAGAGGCCCCCGCAGAATCAAGGTCTCTAGCCGCGATACGTACTCTGTCTCACTGGTCTACCTTGTTCCTCTGCACCCCGGCCGCCAGCACCCTGCATCGCTTCTCCCTGCAGAGGAGGCTGGAATGTTGCAGTCGAGGCCCACAGGGTCTCCGTCAGTAGTGAGGTGGGAACTGTTGCCTGTGGCAGGGCTGTTGGGCCTGGCCTTCGGAGGGCTCTCAGATCCCTCGTCCTCTCCCCCATTCTCACGCTCTGGTAGTTCCGGGGGTGATTGCGTGGCCCCTGCACGTGGGCAGTGTGTCTCATGGTTACAGTCTGCTGCGCATTCACGCCTGCGCTGGAACGCCACCGGGGCTAGTGACATTTGCCGCCTCTGCACCCTTTTCTCCTCCAACATCAAACTCCAGAGTTGAAGGTACTTCCTGGGGTCATCCTTCTTCACGGCATTCTTGTGCACAACTCCATCTGCCTCAATGTCGTTCCTGTTGATGAAACCATATCTGTTTCTTATGTTGAACCATTTTACATCCCCAAACCGTCATTGTGATGACCTCTTTGTCCCCGCTGGCAGGCACCTATGATAAGGCTGCTGGTGGTGGTGCCCTGCTTGGTGTTAGCAGCCCTGAGGGCGGGAGCAGCAGAGGGGTGGGGCCGGTGGCTGCTGGGTTTCTGCATAGCTGCTCGTGGCTGTGGTAATGGTGGAGCTAGGCTAGAGGTGGCAGTGGGGCTGCTCAGGGCTCTCTGGGGGCTGCTCTCCACTCACGATGAAACTCCTTTACAATTTTAAATGGTTGGAAAAAAAATTTTTAAAGAATATTTTGTGACAGGTAAAAATTACATGAAATTCAAATTTCAGTATTCATAAAGTTTTATTGGCACACAACCACATTTATCTATTACAGTGTCTATGGCTGCTTTTGCTTGCAACAGCAGGAAATGAATAGATGTGAGATCACATATTCTCCAAAGCCTAAACTATGTACTAGCTGGTCCTTTTCAGAAGTTTACTGACCCTTCTCCTAAACCAATTATGGTAACTATATTCTCTTCTCAATGTTTATGTTTTGGGGAGCATGAGACTGGGCCAATAAAATATAACAGACGGTTTGACAGATGGCTTCTGGAAAAGGCTTTTTCTTCTCTGATAAAAAGGAGATATGGGATAACGCTTACTTTCTGCCTTTGGATGTTGCATGTGAGAATGTGATAGAGCTACAGCAGCCACTTTGTGATCATGAGGGAAAAGTCAAGAGAATCACAGAGAAGCTGCCCCAGATACTTTTGAGCTGTTAAATTAACCAACCCTAGAACTTTATACCTCTATATTTCTTTTTGTATTTAAAATAAATATACTAATACTTGAACATTCTGTTACTTGCAGCCAAATATATCCTAAAGCATATGATTTAAGAAAATGATTTTTAAAATTATTGCACAGTATTTCCTCTTATTAAAGATCCATTAAGTTTAAACAATTTATGGGCATTTCCCCTAACTCTTTGCTATTATAAATTATGTCCTTTTAAAAAACATAATTTTACAAATTTAAACCTAAGGCTCATGATATGTTCAGATCAGTTATTAAAAAGCTGCTAAGTAAAAGAACTTGGGTAAAAGGTACAAACTTCTAGTTGTAAGATAAACACTAGAGATGTAATGTACAACATGATGGCTATCACTCACACTACTGGATATATAGGAAAGTTGTTGAGAGTAAATCTAAAGAATTCTCATCACAAGGAGAAAATTTTTTTCCTTTTTTATTTCTTTTTATTGTATCTATGTGAAAAGATGGATATTAGCTGAACTTACTATAGTGATCATTTCACAGTATATGTAAAACAAACCATCATGTTGTATGCCTTAAACTTATACAGTGATATATGTCAATTATTTCTCAATAAAACTGGAAAACAAACTGAAATTGCCTCCCTTTAAAATACTGTCCTAACTCTTTCATGGGATACTAACTACCCCCTTATTCCACATAGACAGAAATCCAAATCCATATTCATTTCCAGTATAAACTCTACCTGATTCCAAAAAAAAAAATTGAGTTTTCAATGAAAGTTACATCAGTAGCCAAGAATGTTCAATGGGAGTCGAAATTATGTAATCAAAGCATTTCCCCCTTTTTCTCATTAATTAAAAGTACTTTGAATCAGAGATAATTTATGTTTTTGAATATTTGCAACTCCAATTAACACTTTGTTAAAACATGCCCACATGGGTATCAGGGCCAAAATCCTTCAAGTGGCAAAATTATTTCTTTCAGTATCATTAACCAGTGCATTGTGAAATTCTGTTGAAATGGTAAAGGCTCCCTATTCCATGTCACCACTCTGTCCCCTTACCTCTGACCTATGTCACACCTACCGCTTCATTACAGAGCCAGCTGCACTAATGTCTCTGAATTGTGCAATCTCAAGTGCAGCAAACAGCTACCTGAAGCAAAGAGATCAGTGCATTGACTTGTTTGTTGTTTTAAACCCAGGTCTGAAATACTTTTGGGTTGACCTACCTACACTGAGAGCAGTGATTAATCTAAAATTCTGTTTTCAAGAAGCCATCAGATTCCGGGGGGGAATTACCCTTAGAACAAACTTTGCATGGACACTTTCATGATTCAGTGACAACTAATTAGTTCCTTGAGCCCCTGTGAGATGTTAAGCTTCTTGACATCTGTATACTTCTCTATTCCTAAAACAAAAATAGCAGAAAGAGCCACTGCTGTGAGGAATTTTAAACTGCTGTGGAAATTTTATAAAATATTATTGAGAGAGATCTATTCCAGGAGAAAGAACTTTTGGTTCCTGCAAAATTCTTCATTTTAAGAGGAAGTCTTCTGGAAGGTATTACTGTATAGTGTAGTGGTTAAGAACACTACACTTTGTTGAACAACTAGGATTGAACAAGAACTAGAATGGGACAGAACTTTGACGAATCTCAACTCTTAGTACATGTATAACATTGGACAAGTGACTTCATCCCTCTAAGCCTCAGTTTTTTTCACCAGCTTCATTCATACCAGCCATGGAGTTACAGCAAGCAAGACAGCAAACAGAGGAAAAATGTATGAGAGTTTGTGCAAAAAAAAAAAAAAAAAAGAAAATCCTGTAGATTAGGGGTTAAAAATTCGCAGGCAAGTTTCCTGGTTGCTCCTTAGTTTACAGAATAAATTGAGGCTGAGGGTTGCTAAGGAGAGGTAAAGGAGAGACGAAATGTCGAAGGCTTGGGGAGAGTGATGAGAGTTTGGAACAGGCTTTGTGAGAGTAGGAGAGGAAGGGGCTAAAGAAAGACAAGACAAAGAATGGGGGAGGCGGAGGAGGAAATGACGGCTCAGCAGGATTGCCAAACAGTGATCTACAGTAGCACAGGGTGGATTGCTCCTGGAGTAGAGGAATTCAAAGGAAATGTAGTCACGTGATGGCTGGGAAGGACTCACTAAAAGTCAGATTTTTAAGCAAGCATCCGGGCTCCAAGTCCAGAGCTCCTTCTAATCTATAACAGGAGATCTGGGTCTGTCCTTAATTAGCTTTCCTTTGGGTCTATTTTCTAGTTTGCAAATACCTCTGGACCAGGTGATACTCAAAGTCCCTCAGTCCTCTAGAATGTTGTAACTGGATGTTCTGCTCCTGGAACTGCTTCTCACTAATTATGCTACATGCTACTTTATGCAAGTCATTGAAACTCCCTGACTTGTTTCTGTAATTGAATTATGTTCCAGAAGCTTGAGTTTTCAAGTGCTGATCCTATGAACGCAGTCTTTATGTTGGTTTGATGCCCGAATTTATCAGTAGCTCTGAGATGTTCATAGCACCTCCTCCCTCGGGGCGAGGGGGGAGAAGGGATCTGTTCAGTTGTGCGTTCAAGTTAATCATTCACTCAAGTCAAATCAAATATTTGTCATTGGACCGCATTGAACATCCCTTAACTACACTGCAGCAGTCCAACACAATATCCAAACAGGGCAGAAAGTTGTAAAAGAAAATACCATGTTTAAAGTAAGAAAACATGGTGTAGAAATGAACCAAAGCAGACCCAAGGCCTTCACTGAGTGTTACATTGAGTAGCCGCCAGGAAAAGATCAAGACCCTTGACTGAGTTGATGTTAGCTGTGTCTTCAGGCACTAGAGAAAATTCCTTTACTCCCAGCAAACAACAGATTCTTTGAGTACAGCTATTTAATAAACTGCCAGAGAGCCATAGAAACAGCCTAAAAGATCAGAGAGGCCGACTTCGTTACAGTTTTTGTCCGTGGGATGCAGTTCGTTGAGGGAGGCAAAATGGGAAAAAAATTTTTTAACCGGCAATAAGAGAATTTTTCATTATTTCCTTTCCGGTAGTCGTACTCAATTATAATTTAAAATTAAGGCCTTGAGTCCCGAGTTCCAGCAAGATTAACCAGCCTAGAGACTTTTGTCCATCCTCCTAACACCCCACACCCACCGCCCTGAGGTCCCACTAGAGTGGAGCCTCACGGAGGGCCTCCGGGAACCTCGGGGACGGAAAGCAACGGAGAAGCGGGGCCGCCCGCAGCTC